AGTGCCAGCCTGCCTTCAGGCAGCTAGCTAAGATTATTTCCGGATGCTCTTTGCATGTGTCACTTGTTATGAACATTATGTCCCGCCCCCCCCAACAATTCAAAGAACAATTAAAGCTGTAAGCCCAAAATACCTGATGAAAATCTTTGCCACTGCTTTTACCATCGCCACTGAAATCCACATGCGAAAATAGGCAGCGTAATAAATGCCTGTCTGCCTCAGGACCGTGCCGATTCACAATCTAAAAAGTCCAAAAATAAAAGTTTACAGGTTAATATTAAAGAGTAATAAGGAAGGTACTGATTTCTAGGTGAAAAATCGTAAATTATTGTTTATGTTGGATTATAATTACAAGAATTACTAAAATGGAGGTGCCAATATTTGTAATTAATAGGTTTTAAATGCTGCTTAGCAAGAACAGAGGATGAAACACTGCCAGCAAGCACCCATTACATAACCGTGGTGTGCTTTAGTCAACATTCACATAACAAGCACTTAACTAGGCATAACATAAGCAACATGTATTGGAAATACAAAGTTAAAAAAAAAGGTTTGAAGCCAACAGCTGTTTAACAAACTAAACTCACAGCAATTTTCCTAAATATGTTTACTGCAAAAAATGTAACTTGTAATTACTCTTGACACAGTTGTGACTACGCAATGACCTCAAAGGCCAGGCCCTAGGCTGGCCACCGTCTCTGAACATAACACTTTCGATGTCCTTGATTTCAACTAGGTCTGTTACCCACTGTACCTCAAAATTAGTGAGGGTCACACAAGCTTAGTTCTTCTAACTGAAAGGCCCTCAGTTATCTGCACATGTTTTTTTCTTTCTTCTTGTAGGTTTCTATCAAGTTACCCTATCATAACCTGTGGCACCATAACATCTCACCTTGCACAAACTTTTTTTTTAACTTAAATCATTTTATTGGGGGGCTCGTACAACTCTTATCGCAATCCGTACATCCATCATGTCAAGCACATGTATATATTTGTTGTACTCATTCTCAAAACATTTGCTTTCCACTTGAGTCCTTGGTATCAGCTCATTTCCCCTCCCTCCCTGCTCCCCCCTCCCTCATGAA